CAATGCAAGTAAGGGCAAATGCAGTGGGGAGGGGAACTGGATCTCATTGGTAATACTCATGTCAAGCCATGATGATGCCGTGTACAACAGAAAGCACGCAACTTAGAATGAGGTTGTGGGTGGCAATCAGAAGCTAAAATCCACCAGTGAGACACTTGAGTGTTACCCATCTGTAACAACGGTAGAATAACATGACCTTGAAAATGAGGGAGCTGTTGTGTCAGTAAGCAGGCTGTTGGCATATTTGCCAGTAGACATGCAGTTTTGTAATGGCTGGCTCAAACATCGTGACCCCTCGTCCTTCTGGGAACTTCACTGACTTTGAAAAAGCCCCATGTAGGGAAGAGATCATTTTGAAGCCCTGGGCTGTGTTCATTGAGAGGCTGACAACAGCCAGAGGAAGGATTACCAACCTCCCTGCTAACCTGGCTCCCCGCTCCATGCATTAAGCCAACTAGTAAAAATCATTATGAAGTTTTTGCTGAAAGGGCAAGTGTAGAAAAACATGTTTCTAAACAGAATAACAGTCTTTGCCATTTTTTTCCAACTTGCATACCATCTGGAAATTCTGATTTTTTTTTTCAAAGGGTAGGAAAGAAATGTGCTCCAGGCACAAATAAATGTTTACAGCTGAGTTATAAACCGAGAATGGTGGGGCTTAAAACAGACAGGCTGGCAGTGATGGAGCTCAAGCTGCAGTGAGACAAATAATGCTGTGGGGAACAGGCCAGCTTCTTTTGCATGCTTGGCCCTTTTGAATGGAAAGTCCTGCTTCCCGCTGACCTCATCAAGCAAACGTTTGGGAAGAAGTCTTCATTTGGGTTTGTGCTAATTCCGAGGAGGTAAAGGAAAAGATGAAGTGGGATGATTGTCTATCTTGACATTCTGAAGGCAGCCTTTGCCTCTGGACAGTACAGCACCTCAGAAAGAAGTGGCACCCTGTGGAGGGTTGTTAAATGGACCAGCTGGGGGATGTCACACTGATGTCAATGACAACAACTAATATTCATGGACCTCTTATTAAGTGCTTAATGCCGCACATTGTGTTTTACAAGAGTTATCTCATTTATGCTGGACGGCAAGCTTACGAGGGGTACTATTTTACATATGAGGAATGGGAGGCTGAGGGAGGAAAAATTACCTGCTTAGGGTCACACAGCTGCTAAGTGATGGAGCTGATGTTTGTGGAACTGTATAGAGGATCCATCAATGCAAAGTTACCAAGGATATGTTATACCCAAATCTTGGTCAAGAAGGATAAATGGACAGATTGGGAGTTTGGTCTCTTCTCCCTAGTCTCCTATAATTTGGAGTTACGGGAAAATCCAAGGAAAGTAGAAATGGGTTTACGAATGATACAGGGCAGTCAGCAAACTTTTTCCATAAAAGGCCAGATAGAAAATGTTTTAGGCTATGTGGGCCTTCTAGTCTCTGTTGCACCTACTCAACCTCATTGTTGTAGCGCAAAAGCAGCCACAGACAATGAACGAACATGGCCGTGCTCCAATAAAACTTTATTTGCAAAAACAGGCAGCTGGCCAGATTTGGTCCAAGAGACGTAGTTTGCTGACCCCTGATATAGGGGACACCTTAAATTTAAAATGAGTGATAGCTTTTGAGAATGATCCATGAAATTTTACTTGGGAGTTTGTTTTTTCTTAACCTCAGTGCACAAATTGGCTACCTATGATGTGCCCTTTAAAAGCTCTCGTATGCTTTGTGTCTGGGCCTAGCCAATCAAGCTGGATTCCCTTATGTTATCTGACCAGGTCAGAACACTGTATTGAATCTTCGTTCTCAAGGCTTATCTAATCCCAGATCTATAGAAAAAGTGCTCCGTGCTCTTGTAATGAAGATGTATGAGTTCATTCCTTTTAACATAGAAATACACTGGAGATGGTGAGTGAATCTGGCAGTCTCTGGGCTCCCTCTTCTTGATGTGAAAGCCAACCATCAAACCAGCCACGTTAAGGTTTAATTGAAAGAGAGACGGAGAAAAAATAAACCCTGAACAACAACAAATGGAAAAAGGAAGACAAAGCTCAAAGAACATACTCTCCCAACTAATTAATCAAGTGCTTTGTTTCCACTAACATCTCGGAGAGTGGAGGCTGCCCTGTCTATTAGACTCCTTTCCAAATCTGAGCAATGTAAACACTCCTAAAGTGCAGGTAATGAAATCTCTATCGATGTGCCATCTTAGATGGAACTCACATGCCCGTGTTTTGCTTACATTTTAATTTGCTTCTGCTGGATACTTACCCAGTAATTGCTTAATAAGATTAACCTCCCCGGCAATGTGTGGTGTATCTTGATTAAAACATTATCAGAGTGAAGGATTATCGTATACCACAAAAAATGGAGGGGGTGTTATTTAATTAACTTATTGCCAATATATCTTGATTGTCTCTTTGAAACACTGGAAAAGTGGTCGATTGGAATTGATTCAGGTTATCTAAATGTATAGAATTGGAGAGTGGGGAGGAGGGAGATCATTGGGCAAAGAAATTCAAACCTAAGGTCACTTTCTTTAAAAGAGTTAGGTGGGTGTGAGAAACCTAAAACCTTTCTAGCCGTTTTTTAAACCAAACTTGACGACAACTTAAGAAGAAATCTGATATCTTTGGTCGTAGGCAGAGTACTGTGTTGGTGTTCAGAAAGGAGATATGCTGAGTTTTATATCAACTTTAAGCAATTTTAATTTCTCACACTTTTTCCTAAGAGTCCTATTGATAACCATTTGATTTGGCAACCATTTTTCTGTCTCATAACTCTTTTGGAAAATATCTAAATGGGTGATGTTATATGACTTACACAACATTTTTAAAAGCATGTTGCACCTGAGGGGAAAAATTCGGGTCTTTCCCAAGGCACCGTGGAAAGTGTTTCTTCATTTGTTAATTTAGAGACATCATACTCGTAGGACTTGTTCTCCCCGGGGAATCTTCTGTTCTGCTGGTGTGGGATGCCAAAGTGGGGTGGGGGTTGCAAATGAAACTTAATCACAAGGAGGAGGAGTGGCTGACCTTAATTTATGGAAGCCAATGCCTACCCGTGATTCCCTTTTGTGAAGGATGCTATTTAAAAATCATTTGTATATAACTTCAGAAGGTATGCACACATAAAATATAGCCCTGTGCTGCCGAATGATAGAATTTGCATATTCACTTTCAAATGTGTCTTCTGCATTTTTCTCAAAGGATGGGGTGCTGACTTGTTGACTAAAGGACATTTGTGGATGAAACACAACAGAGACGCCTAAAGCAGAGTTTCTCAAAGAGCAGCACAGCTGACGTTTTGGACGGGATAAACCTTTGTTGTAGGGGGCTGTCCTGTGAGTTGCAGGATGTTTGACTCATCTCGGCTTCTACTCACTTAGATGCCAGTTGTACCTCCTCTAATTGTGACAATCAAAAAAGTCTTCAGGCATTGCCAAATGTTCCCTGTGGGGCAAAAACGCCCGGCTGAGAACCATTCTCTTAGAGGAAATCGAAGCTGGGGATGGTGTCAAGTACTTGAGGTGAACAGATTACAAATCTGAGGCCAGCAAATTTGGCTCCAGGCTTTTTGGTTAGTTAAGGCAGAACATGGTCATTTAAGGCAAAACACACATTTCATTTTTAGGTCTAGTTTTAGTTACCTGAAAAGGGAAAGCACATAATTTTACCCTGAGATAAAACTTGTTCATGCTTACTTAAAGGTAATTTGGTGTTATGATTAGGATAGATGAGTAGAGTGAGTCTTAAAGACTGGATAAAAAGACAAAAAAGTCACACTGGAAGCATTAGGACAGCTCCACGGAGAAGAATTTAAGCAGCATTAGCATCTCAGGATGACTAATGTACACCTCTATGGGAAGATGATTCTGGAATCTTCTCTGTGGAAAATGACAGATCTAAGGAAAATACCAACAGCTTGCCCAGGGAACAGACCTGAGTCCAGATGCGTACCTGCCTACTTGTTGGACTTGGCGTAAGTTTCTAAAACGTCCTGGGCCTCAGTTTGTCCCAGATGATTTTCCTCCCTTTAGAGTTGTTGAAGTTACACAATGCTAAGCTTGCACACAATAGGTGCCCAATAAATGTTGTTTCTTTCCCGTCTCTGAAAATATCCCTGTGGGGTATTTTAAGACACTTGGGGGTGAACTGCCTAGGTGTGCTAAGAGGCAGAGTGGAAAGTTCTGTGCTTGGAGAAACCATTCCATACAATCTCTCCTGTTTGTGATTTCCATCCCAAATTGAGCGAACCCCACCGAGTGCGAGCCCACCGAACTGTGCCATTGGCTGCTGCTGTCTTTTTAATTGCCCCACGTCCCCACCTCCCCATGGTTCTGTTTTCTCTCCTCCTTCTTAGCACCTTGTTAGCACCTATTTTTTTTTTCCTGCAAGAATACAGTTGCCTGATTGCTTCAATAAACATTTCTATTGTCCCCTTCACTGTTCTGAGAAGAGCAGCTTTGTTCCCAAGTTGTCAAAACTGCTTTCTATTCTCCCCCAAAGCGGAACAGCTCGAGTCTTTCTCTTTCATGCCGTGCCAGGCGGCACTTCCTCCCCAGGGAGGCTGCGGCTCTCCTCTCCAGAGAGGGCTCCAGTCTAGTGGCATGTGCTGCCTGCTGCTCTCGGCTTTCTTGATTAGGCAGGGCTTTCTCCTGCTGCTGCTGCCGCTGTTCCAGCTGCTGCTGTTGCTGCTGCTTCTGCCCAGGCCTTGGGATGCTTTCAAGTAGCTCCAAACCGTGCCAGTCGCTGCAGATAGCATAGGTATGCACATTGCTCTGAGCAGGCACTGCGCCAGCTCCGAGGGACTCCAGCCAAACACAGCTAACAGACAGGAACAGCAAACAGCTTTCAACAGGGGCACCTAGCAAAGGCAAGGATTTTTTTCCCCCTTTCTTCTCCTTTTTGCACACCTTACAAGATTGGGATTAGAAAACCTGAACCAGCTGGCGAGAGCTCTGAATTTTCCTGTGACCTCAAGAGGGCAAGCGGCAGCTGTAACCTCACCTTTGCCTCCAGATGGCATTGTTGCCACATCATCGTTTCCTGGTAAGCCGGTCCTTATCCCATTGTTAAAGGTGTGTCCATCTGCCGGCTGGAGTTGCCAATTGAGTCCGAGCAGATGCATTGCTGCAGGAGAGACAAAGTAATGAAAATATGAATAGATAATTCAGCAATGCAAATGTCAAGGGGGAGGGCCAGGTGCCTTTTCCAAGCAATTGCCTTTTAAGGAAGCTGCAGTTCAAAAATGGCTTGTCCCAGGCCGCAGGGATTAGCTAAATACAGAAAGCCTGTAGATCTGGGGGGCTAGGTCTCCTGTTCACAGCCTCAGGGGGAGTAGATCCCCTTCATGGCTGGAGGAGGGAGGAGAAAACACAGCCCAGACCTTCAAATGGTGTCTCCACGGAGGGAAAATGCCCCCTGGGAATCACTGTAAAGGGTTTTCTCTGTCACATCCAACTTGCCCCACACTCTGGATGCAGCTCTTTTTTGACTGGTAGTCCAGGGGCATCGACAAGGATAATTTCCGCCAAACTACTCAAAATGTAAATCAGTTTCAAAAAGAGTCTACCCAAATGGGCACAGCCTGCTGGTCTGGTTCAGCCCAGACTGTACCTGCACAGAAATACCAACACAGCCGGTAGCGTCTGCAGTAGTGCTGGCCCACTGTGAAGCTCACCTCCCTAACTGTTTCAAACTTTAAAAATATTTTTCCAATCCACCGTTCTTCCTGATAAGTGGATATCTTTCGTCCCATTGTGGAAAAAGCTGGGGCGGGGGTGAGGGGTGGAATGGGGTCCTTTCCTGAAAATATTACGATTCCTTCTCTCTCACACGCCCACCCACACCCACACTTCACCCCAGTACAGAAGGAGACAGAGTTCTGAAGTGTCTTCTCTTCTTTGCTAAGGAAACAAGCCCATCTGCCAAACTCTTGCGTTACTGGATGTGCACCTCAAACCTCCAAATGCAAACTTCCTCTGGTCTTCCATGTCACTCTGTCTATGCCAACTCCCCCCGTCCCAGTTAGTTTAGCAAGCTCAATACACCCCTCTTTCTGGTGGTTCTTGGTGAGTTGTTTTGACTGGGTGGAATAAAACACAAATCCCAAACGCCTGTATTCTTTCAAAGTCCCGATCTAAGAAATGCTTCATTTGCAAATAAATAAGGAGTTCATTCTTGCACATATTTCCCATCCAAACAGTAACCGCACCATGTCTGTCTGGCATTTCAACTGGACACAGGTTGCCGCTGTTGCTGAGTTTCCAGGACTTCGGGAGAGAAAGGGGTGTTGATGGGGAAAGGTTCCCAGGAGTATGATGCGGGGATGGGAGAAACAATTAACAAGAGGAAATACAATTAACAATGCTTAGGAGATTGTTCACACAGCAATTAATTCTGTATGCCTACCACCACTTAAAGTCAGGCCACATTCTATTAAGGTTAAAAACCCGTCTTCAAACAATACAGCTCAGCTTGATGGCCACGGATTAAGGTGGCAAGGTGTCCCGGTGTGTACGTCTGCTTTTTTCTAACACACCCCCCGATCTCAGAACCATGTTTTCTTTCTATACGCTAGTCTGAAGTGCAAGCCCCACTGTTACAACTCTTTGAGATGATACATACTAATAAGAATAAGTGACATTTACTGTACACTTTCTGTCAAAGTAACACCTAATTTTCTCTTGCCGTTTATTGTTATATGTAGGTCACTTACTTGAAGAGACCAGATTCTATTGCCTCAAATGATGACAGATTTTCACTGTACAGAGGTCAGGAAATGAGAACTAATCGTGACTGCTCCAAGATAACGGGAGCTTCTGATTTGCAATTACCAGGTAAAGGGAGCCAAGGAATTAGCTATTTTAAAATGATTTCTTTTTTTTTTAAATGTTGCTATCGGGTAATTGGGGCTTGCCTGGAGCTGGCTTGCTGCTGCACTGGCGATGCGGTTCTTTTGAGGAGAATCTGTGTTTTAAAATAGACACAGACAAGCATTGCAGGTGCAGCTTGGGCTCAGGCCTCACAAAGCTTTGATTTTTCACGTCTATACAGGAAGCAGTGGGTCCATCAGGCAAAGATGACAACCTCCCCAATGCCCGATCAATATGAAAATTCTTGTCAAAACTTCTCCCCTCTTATAGCACTCAATCTTATCATCCCAAGATGCAGAACGTATTGCAACCATCCACTGTGGGAGAACAGCAAGAACACACTTTCCCAATCTTCCTGCACATGAAGACAGCAGTCATGAAACTCTGCTCTCTCTGTTTTCAAAGATGCCTCCCCCCTCCTTTTTGGTTTTGGGTTTCATAGCGTCTCTTTATTTAAAAAAAAAAAAAACGTATTCTGAAAACAAGAAAACTACGGAGGGGGTGAGAAGGGTTAGGATCAGAGTACTCAAGTAACTTCTCAGACAACTCCCAGAGTGAAAAGAAAAATTAGGAAGTGAGATGGAGGTGGAAAAAGGGGAAGAGCCAAATCTGCTGAGCAGAAGCTCTGTCCTCGCGGCAGAAGCGATGCAACAAAAATGAAACTCAAGTTCGGGCATATTTTCTGTTGTTGAATTGAACGTTAAGTAAATAAGTGAGAATTGTATCGGGGGATAACCACATTCTCTTGTTTTTTGGGGGGGATGTCTGAAATAGGCTTTTGTTGGTATTTTTCTTGATCAGCTATTCCTTCTCTCGTGAGTAAGAAAATGAGAATATCTTTCTGGCCTATGGGGATGGACTGACGGGTCCTTAGGATAAAGACTCAGGGGAGCCGTGAAGTAAATGAGTTTCCTGACTAAGGAGAACTCTGCTTCTTATCCTGCTACCGATTTGCTCTATGGCTGGGGCTGAGAAATCAGTCTCTCAGTCAATCTCTCCCTTTACTTTCTGTAAGGGTTTCCCTTTACAGGTAGAATAATGGCTGCCTAGGGCCAGAGGGAGGTTAAGCATCTGCGACCCTTGGAAGATCTAGCAGAGTGTCTTGAATCTAGAAGGCACTCCATAAATGTTTATTAGGATAGATAATGACACATGGGGGCATATTTCAGGGGTTGGATTGTAGGACATTATACTCGTATAAATAAAAAATACACAGTACTGAGGTGTGAGGGATGGCATACCACAGTGCTGGCCACAATATGGACGAGTCTGCAAGAGAAGCTATTTTATTTTTGTTGTGTTTTTTTTTTTTTTTTAGGAAGATTAGACCTGAGCTAACATCTGCTGCCAATCCTCTTCATTTTTGTTGAGGAAGACCGGCCCTGAGCTAACATCCGAGCCCATCTTCCTCTACTTTATATGTGGGACACCTGCCACAGCATGGCTTGCCAAGCGGTGCCATGTCCACACCTGGGATCCGAACCGGCAAACCCTAGGCCACTGAAGCAGAACGTGCGACCTTAACCGCTGAGCCACCGGGCTGGCCCCAAGAGAAGCTATTTTGATTATTAGTATTTGAATCCCTGTTGCCCATTCTTGAATACCTCACATGGCCAGCACTCCAGTAAGCATTCCACAGCTATTATCTTAAGACTCACGGCTTACATTTGATGTAGGAACTGTCATAATCCCCATTTCACCTATGAAGAAACTGTTGGCTGTGAAGTTCGATCACAGGGGAATTCAGAATCAGAGGAGGGTTCCAGGGGGAGTGGTTATCTGGTTTCTATTTCACAGAGATCTGGTTATAAATTCTGTGGGCAATGCATCTCAGCAAACTTTGCCTCTTTCTTGAAACTCATGATAGTCTCCCTGTTGTCGATAAAGACCATTGTCTATAGTCAGCACCCCTTCCTGAGGGGGTTATATGTTCTCCCTTTGTTGAACTCAGATGTGGCCATGTGACCTGGCAGCACACACTTTCTTCCCTTTGCCACACGGTCAGCCTGGGTCTTGAGTGAAGATAATGCAGCTCAGAGCCATGGCAGACCAGGGATAGAAAACAGAATGAGCAAAGAAATAAACTGTTGCTATTGTAAGACCTTGAGAGTTTGGGGTTCTTTGTTACAGCAGCATGCCTGAGACTATTTTGACTGATACATTCACTAATAAAGAAAGTGAGAAATGCCATTTTTATATGACAGGTCTCCATCCATTCCTTGAAGTTATTTATTTATTGGGTCAGAATCCTTTCTAAAACCAAGCCAGGAAGAATTAGGACATAGTTAGGGCTACCACATTTGTTTCTGTGAACAACAACAACAAATAGCTCTTTAAACACTATGTCATAATATCTCCAGTTTTAGTCTGCTCTCAGAATCAGGAAGCTGAGAAGCCTCAGAGTAGCCAGAGTTATTGCTTCTTCATCTCCAGATTTTGGGTGAATGCTGGTTTCACCAACCTTTATTTTACCTAACAAGACATCCTCGATGCAGTGGGGTGGTCCCCTCTCCACTCCCCACAGTGCTCCAGCAGCTCATCCCAAAAGGTTCTGTTCAGACTGTCTTAGGGTCAGAAGTGAAATGAGTTTGGGAGGCCCTCTCTCCAACGTCATTCACCCCCACCGACAGTCAAAATGCACGATTTATCATGATTTGACAGGCTCCACTCCACAGAGAGCCTTGGGTGGAACAATGGGGCTCCGTGGGTCAGCAAGGATGGAACGGGGAAAGGCTCCAAGTGGAAGCTCGTGTAATCCAGGTGGCAGCTGGGAAATCAGCCACTAAAAACACAATAGGCAGCCAAACTCTGAACGTATCCCTCTGGCTAATTGGAGGGAACTTTCATCGACTGCTGAAAATGAACCAAGGCAGGATGGACAGACCACACACAGATCCCACATTTCAGCAGGAATAATAAATAGACCTGCCTGGAGTCAGGGTGATATTTTCTTACTAAAGTTTTCTGGTTTTGTGCCAGGTGGGCTCTGAAAGAAATACTCAGAGGGAGCCAAAGCAGAAGTGAGGGAGAGGGGTTGGTTGCAGGTAACAGAATTCTCCAGGAACCACAAGGACGAAGATTATAGACCTTGGAAAGTGGCAGCTGGGAATGGGGGTTGTCTGAAACAGTAATTAGGGTATATGCGGGCCCTGCTGGGTGTCACTTAGAACATTCCACGTTCATTGGCTGGCAGAGGATCAGCCTGACAAGAGAGTCAATCAATATGTCAGCAACGCTTCCCAGATTGATGCTCAG